GCTGTTTCTACGATCTGTGTTGTATGGTTGATACCGATCTATGTTCGACAAGGTTTCTCTGTCGATATCCCTTTGAGTTCTGTCGATGGACATGTTTGGATAAATAGAACCGGAAGGGGTCCCCAATTGATCATCCTCGACCCTGATCTTTGACTGGAACCGATTATGTACATTGGCCCAGGTTACCACTAGATATTCATTTAAATTCTGTTTTAGCTGTCGTGATGCCACCGCACTGCGTTCGTTCAAATCCTGAGTAAAGGCTTGAACAACCCAATCATTTGTGACCGGTGGTAGTTCCATGCGTTCCATCTGGAACCGAGATACGAATTCCCTCAACATTTCGTTGTCTTTTTGTTTCACCTTGAAGAGGTCCGACTTCCTAGTTGCAACCTTTATCGCTCTGGCATGTGCCTTTACGAATGAGTCTGCAAGTATGGCGAAGGAATCGATGGAATTAGGCGGCAAATTGTGGTACCATATCATTGCTCCTTTCGACAAGGTTTCTCCAAATTTTTTCAGTAAAACATATTCAATCTCATCGTCTTCCAAGTCATTCCCTTTTATTGCGCATGTATAAGAAGTGACATGCTCATTAGTGTCGGTGGTCCCATTGTACTTGAAATTTCTGGCATTCGAAATTTTTTGGAATGGATTTCGGTGCCGCACTTGGAGGAAAATGCTTATGTACAAATTCTTTGAATCTATACCCTTTAGAATCGACAGTGCCCCCGGTATTTGGTCAACCCGGGAGTTGTATGTCTCTACTTTGTTGTCATTTGCCTTGATTTTCTTTTCTCCCGATTCAATTCGTTTAGTGAGCTCCTCGAACATTTTCATAATGGCAGGGTCAGTCCCCCATTCGTTGGCATTCGACCTTTCCAGCACAGGCTCGGTCCTTTGAACGACTTCTGGTTCGATCCTACTCGGTGTTCGGTGTTGATTTTGTAGTTGTGCTATAGCGGCCTGTTGAGCCTGTAACATTTCGAATATCAATTGGAGGCTAACTCTACCATCTTCTCCCCCCTGTGTACCTCGACCACCCGATCGAACTTCCCTGCGTATACTACCTTCGGGCTCAACGCCCAAATTTGCACTTAGGGCGACATGTGAACTGACATCGATGGGATTTGCAATTGGTGCTCCCTCGAGGTTGGCTTGAGACACCTCGCTTCCTGGGGCGGCTATGTTGTCATTTTTCCCGTGAAATCCGAGGCTGTTGTCACCATGTGTAGGTGTTGTTTATGAGTTTGACATGTTTATTCTAAAAACAAAGTTTCTTACGAGAACAAGTGTAAAGCAGTGTGTGTTATCAGAATCAGTATTAAGCAATCACTATTATCCTAGGCCCCACGGTGGTCGCCAAATTATTTACCCTTAAAATTGGATAACAATTAAACTTAAAGTGTGGCTCTAAGAACACGTGATTTCACTTAATATCAATTGATAAATATGAGGATTAATAACAGAAATAAACTATAAAGTAAAATAAACCAGTGTTAGAATGGAACTCAGCCCTCGAGTTTGGATACCCTCGAACTGGTTAATGCAAGAACAATTAAAATATAACAAGTTGATGAACAATCGTATAAACGAGAAAGAAAATTATATTTCTTTGATCTCTGTGAACCATGTTCTACAAATAATTAGGACCCTTTTATATAGTAGAGGAATCCCACTTATGGTATAGTTCTAATTACAGAAGAAAATCCCATGATTAGCTAATTAATCGTTTCTGATTTGATCCGTTCTGAGATTTACGCCACGATCCTCGACCAGTCCCCAAGATTTACGCTGTGATCTTCGACTAGTCACGGATATCTCGCCTTTCCGTTATTATGCTATCTTCGATCTTGCTCGATGTTTGTCTCATTTGGCTTTGATCGCTACTAGCCTCGATCTCGACAGGTACCTCGGTTCTGAACTTGGTACCTAGTCCTCGTGATTTAGTCTGTTCTGTTATAAGGTCGTCTTTCGATGCAATTTCCTGGTCTCGGTCGAATAGTAAAATCGGATAAGGCCGATTTTAACCGTATACACCATTGCAATATGATTTTTTTTGTTGAGAAACCCGAGGGAGATTAAAGTCTGTCCATCTTATAACTGGGTCCAGTTAAATAGCACCCCAAAACTCAATGCTGGTTCAAAATCGCGTAGAGAAGGCACATAATCAAAGAATTACCATTTGTGAATTGCATTGGGCATAAATCTTATAACACGATGTATCTACTATTTTTTTTTATAGGGAAACTACCAGCTATGTCCATTTATAAATAGATTATTACAAAAATTAATTAATTCATAAAATATTAATAATATTAACCAATTAGCTATTTGTATAAAAAGAAAAAAGGTCAAAGTTTTGCTTTCTTTTGAGTGGGTGTTATTAAAATAGATTGGGTACATCTTAAGGAGCCTGAATCTCAGTTTTGGGATGATTTGGTGGAGTTTTGAGGTGGTTTGAATTATAAATTCAAAGTAGCTATATGTATCATGCTTGTATCAAATGTGTATCACACGTATATCCATGTATATCTGTGTGTGAGATACATGCGTGATGCATGTTTGACAGAAGAATTTTTTGAACTTGATTTTTACTACGAATTTTGATACCAAATCAGTCCAATCATATCCAATCTTCCTCGAATTTTGTATATTGACTCATCTATATGTTTTCAATGGATTTCAACCATACCCTTTGAAAAGGGTCCTTTTTTGCTTAGATTTTTGGAATCTTGTCAATATTTCTTTTTGTATTTCATCACCTTATTTGCTATCTCATCCATGAAATTTTCTTTTCGTCATGCATCTAATGTTGCTAACCACGTTTAAATATATGAAAGGAGATCTTTGCGTGTGATTCTTGGAGAGAAAGAATCTTATTTATTTAGGCTATCATTTTTATATGTGTTTGGCTAGTTTTGGTAAGTTTATGATTAATGACTAGAGGTTGGTAAGTTGAGACTTATTTGGGACATTTCTGTAAGATCCCCTTTTTTTTATTACATAGAGGAGTCGTGGAAACCAGTCACTGATGCTTGTATTAGGCTAGGCTGCCTACATCATATTCTTTGAAGTACGGCCCTTCCTCGGACCTGCGTGAATATGGGATACTTCGTGTACCGGACTGCCCACATCAGGAGGGAGGAGAAAGGGGAAACACATGGCTGCTATGTCACCTATGTATATGTATGGAAGACAGGGAGCTCACCGAGTGAGCTAACCCTCGACTTGTGATGTCTTATTATCTTATGTTTGGTTCTACGTATAATAAAAATGATCTAATTAACTCAAAAGCTAATTTGGATTAATTTTTCGTTCAAGAAATTTAATAAAAGTCTAGCGCTAGCCGTACACGAAACATTTTGCAAGCTGCAGAACAAAGGGAATCTAAAAACAAGGATAATGAGTCATTCTATAAAATTGGACAAATGCTTGTGGACATTCTATAAAAGTTTAGACAAGTACTACGTCTGAACCGGTTCTGTTTGTAAGGCAAGGCCTAGTATAGTTTTTTCTTTTTAACCCCTTAATTATGTTATTGTGTTGTCTTAAAGTTATTTACTAGTATTATTGAGTTGTTAATTTATAAAATGACTTTATTAGTAATACTTGTAGTCAATGTGATTCAAACACTTTAGCTGAATTCTTCTTCTCTTTAATTTGAGTTAAACATGAAAAAAGAAAGAGAGAAAAGGACCTTTTCGATGTTAGAACCTTGCACCTAAATGGCATAAAGTGAACTTGGTCGAGTTCCATCTTTATGTTATCAGGTTAATTTATATAACTTAAATTATTGACAAAATAAAAAATAATGTAGCTTGTTAATCCAAGGTTAATTTACTTGGATAACAAAAAACCCCAGATCCAAAGCGCATAACCATTAAAAAAATTTGTGGCTCAAATGTACCTTCTGATTACGGGTTCTTAGGACTTGGATATTCCTCATCTATCTTTTGGTCATATCAAAGCCATTCTTTGTTTGGATTTCTAGCTTTGTGGTTGACAATGTATATTGGAAGCTGACAAAGTAAGCTGGAATTTTTTGTCTTTAATTTGAGTACTAGTGTAGTGTGTAGCTATGAAAGCTTGTTGATGACCAAATGATGGGGTGATTCTTGACTTACTTTGGGATCTCAACTCATTAAACAACATCTGTAGATTAACACAATGTTGTCATCTTCGATTGAAAAACAAAATGATGGCTCACTTTTTGGCCTGTTCCAAAGTTTTAATAGGACAAATTTACATGGTGACTTTTTTGATCACGGGACCTCTAAAGAACTACCTTTATTCGTCCTTTCTAATATTATTTTAGTTAAACAAATTTGATTTAAAAAGTGTTGCTTTAAAAATCGAAAAGGCATTAATATATCATTTTAACATTTTTATTTATGTTGTAATAAATGACCTATACTAAAAAATCTCTCAATATGTATTACTCATTTGAAGAAATATAATGAACAATTATTTCAAATTATCCTTATGATTAGTGCTTTTGAATAATCTTCCATATGAGTAAAATTCCAAAAATAATTTTCTATGAGTGAGCATCAAGATTAAGGGGGAAAGCTTTGAAAAATTACACGGTATAGCCGATCTAAAAAATAATAGTCGATAAAATATATATTTGTATATTGACTAGCAGTTTGAAATTATTTTGGTCGACCAGCCAAATACGTAACTTGTCCAAAAATATTAAAAAAATAACACTGTATAGTCACTCTAAAAATAATCGTCGAAAATAAATAAATATATATATATATATATTGTGTATGTTATATAAATAAAATTATGTAAAATTTATATACGTTTTGGAGTATTGAATATAAATAGAAAGTGACGCGGGCTAAAAGGGAAAAAAAGTCTAAAAATATTTCCAAACAACTTTATTCNCCCACACAATAGAAGCAAGATAGACCGCGAAAAATTATCGTATTGGACTTCTTCTTGAAAATTTCACTTGTTATAATTTTCTAAAAAAGAAAAGGGCAAAACCTATTACCAAAATTAGGAAAAACATCTATTTAGGCGGACAAAAAGATAAAATACACTCCTGCCACCATTTTCTCCATCACTCACCTCTCTTCGTACTCTCCGTCCACCACCACCGCCGCTGATACTTCAAATACACCCGTCCACTGACGTCATATTCCGACAAGGTGACGACTTCCCCTTCACTATGTCACAGAAATGACAAGGTCCCGGGACCGTTCACCAACAAGAACAAGAACAACAACCATTTCAACTGGCGGCAGCGGAGGAGCGGCGGCGGCGATGAGGGTAATAGTACCCTTACAAGGAGTAGTACAAGGCCGAGGTGGTCTTTTCTTTGGTTCAGTTATACCTTGTGCTCTTTTCTACTTCTGGCAACTCTACCTCAAACGTAATCGCTCCGCCGGTGACGACAATAACGGTGAATCTCCAGCTCCGGCGAGGTCTCCGTCGTCTAGCCATTTGGCGGAAGTGTCGTCTTCTGGTTCAGGAGGGTTACAGAGAGTTCAGTCGTCACGTTTATTACTGTCACCTAAGGGAGCTACTGGGCCCTCTCAAGTGTCTTCAAGAGCTAATTCTATTATTTCTAAACAAAGTGATATTAGTCCTTACTATATTGGACTAAAAAGAGCTTCTGAGGACCCTTATGATGAGTCAAGTAATCCAGATGGTGTTATTCAACTTGGATTAGCAGAAAACAAGGTATTAATTTTATCTGTTTGATATTAGGGAAAATGTTTTCCTTGCTGAAAATATTTTGGAGCATTTGGGTATTTTGAACTGTGACAAAATGGAATAATGTGGCATTCCAGTCAAAGTTTTGGAGGGGCTAGTAATGCAGGACTTAGTAATGTAGGGATTGTTTATGTGGTGATTAGTAATGCAAGAATTGTTATGCAGTGATTAATAATAAAAGAATTGTTATGCGGGGCGTAATATAGGATGAATTATGTTTATACAAGTATTACTTACTTTAAGGGCGTTTTCTCTTTAAATAATCTAACCACTGCATTGTAAATCATGTATTCTTTCCACCTCGCATAAAATTGTACATATGTTCCTGCATAAGTTATGTGAGTATTGTTTAAAGAAGATGCAAAATTACAACACAATGTATAAGTTATGCTAAATTTAATGAGGAGATTAATTCTCCTCATTCAAGCAACCAAATAAGGTATTGATTATGCTGAACTTATTGAGGAGATTAATTCTCCAATTCAAGCAACCAAACAGGTTGCATATATCATCTGAACTTGCGTCAAACAGCACCTGTCAAATATTATTACCATACGTCACATATTCTTATACCAAATCAAACACGGGAAATTGATCGAGAAAATGATGCTGTTGAAGTAATACATCTTCCATGGAAAAACATTTTCTATAGAAAGCATTTTCCCTGAATGCCAATGCAATATATTTCGTGCTGGAGGAACTTTTTGGTTGATATTTCTTTCTTTTGTTTGTTTTTTGACATTTTTTCTCTGTTTTGTATGGTTATAGTTGTCATTGGATTTAATTCAAGAATGGCTGGCAGAAAATGTGTCAAAATGGATGATGAATCAGGATTTGAGTATAAGTGGAATAGCTACTTATCAACCATTTGATGGGTTGTTGGAGTTGAAAGTGGTAAGCTTTTTAATTTTTTCCTTGCACACTACTGGTGACTTGTTTGTCGATATACTGTTGGCTTGTATTGAATATCCTCTGTTTTGATTGTGGATTCTTCTTCTTGGACTATTAAATGAGTATTTGTTCATATGATTATCGTCTATACGGGCTAGAGAGGGAAATTGAAGAAAAACTTTACTTGAAAAGGTTGGTAGAGCTTTAATTGCTTGTTAATTTGAATTAAGACTTTATATGATTAAATCAATGAGACACCTCTTTGAGTGGTATTAGTTTATAATTGTAACCAAGGATGGGCTCATTTATGTCCATATGCAACAATAAAAAAAATGTCCATACGCTTGTATCACAGTTACTTTGTATCAGTTATCACTCATCCGCTTGTTCAGTGTGCTTTTCTGCTGGTTTAATTTGAAACACGAACCCCTGGCAGCGGGATTGGTGCAGAGCGGTATAGAGTCCCTAGTGGCATTCGACAATTCCAAAATTACCTATTGTATACAAGGGTATTGTATGTCCCGTCTTGAGCTTTCTAAGTTTATAATGTACACCAAACATAAGGAAAAGCAACAAATTAAAAAAAAAAAAAAAAAAAGGGCAGCCCGGTGCACTAAGCTCTTGCTATGCGCAGGGTTTGGGGAAGGGCCGGACCACAAAAGTCTATTATACGTAGCCTTACCCTGCATTTTTGTAAGAGGTTGTTTGCACAGCTCGAATCCGTGACCTCTTGGTCACATGACATCAACTTTACCAGCAACAAATAAGCTTCACTTTATTTTAACAATGCCAATTAACTTCTGAAAAGTTTGTCAATTATGTGTAAGAGGATAACATGCTTTAACTTCTACACTTCGGTGCTAAGCATCACTGTGGGAAAATGAACACGGCTCTGAATATTTTGAGTTCTTTCTTGAGATTTCAGAGCCCATGATTGTTGTAAAAAGGAGGATAAAAATATAACAGAAGAGAAATGATAGGAATATTTTGAAACTTGAAAATGCCCAGCCAATTCGTCAAACCATAGCCAGAGGAATGGAAGAATTTTCTTGTGTATTCCTGTTGTTAAATTTCTGCTCCCACTTGAGCATTGCATTGGTAAAACTGGAGTTGGAAACTCATAATTATTGTCGATCTAGCTCAGGTATTTATGTTGTTTCTGCATTTGATGATTGTGTGGTGATGTTTGTCCTGACTCGAACAATGGATGTGCTTGCAGCGTAATATGTGGAAAAACAAATCTGATTTCTTTGTTTAGCACATAAGAGAATACTTTAACCTGCTTTATTCTGCATGGATTTCCTTATTAGCAAGCTCAAAAGTCTTTATAGTGAATATTGGAGTCAGTTGTTCTTTGAGAGGTGGCACTATTATTTCCTTGATAAATGTTCACCTTGATACTCATCTTGGTGTAACCTGTCGAAGGATCTATTGCTAGTTTTGCACTACCTGTAGAAGGTAGATGGCAATTTTGGCCTCTTTGAAATATGAGTGGCTACCTTTGTCATCAGGTATCCTGTGGGTGGGAGATGATTTGATGGATTTACCTTTTTAAATTAAGGGTTTGAATTGTGTAACAGCATTATATGAAATTGTTGTTTAGCCACTATGAAGATCAATTCGTAAAATAATACTGTGTTTTGTGTAGTTCTATATTACTTGTGGTATCTCTTTGAATTAATTTATGTGTTTTTTGCTTGCTAATTTCACCTATATGCAGGCTGTGGCAGGATTTATGTCTCAAGCTGTGGAGAGATCAGTGTCCTTCTGCCCCTCTCAAATGGTTCTTACCACTGGTGCAACTCCTGCTCTTGAGATACTGAGCTTCTGCCTATCTGATCCTGGAAATGCATTTCTTGTTCCCTCACCATATCATCTCGAGTGAGTATTTTCTTTCTTTTAAAGATATTTTCAATCTTTTTGTTATTTTACTTATTTATTGTATAAAATGAACTCAACGTGTCTGCAGTCTTGATAGGGATGTCAAATGGCGAACTGGAGTGGAGATTATACCCGTTCCTTGCCGCAGTGCAGACAACTTTAGCTTGAGCATTGATGCTCTTGACCGAGCACTTAATCAAGCTAAGAAACGTGGTCTTAAAGTACGAGGGATTATTATTTCTAACCCCTCAAATCCCGTAGGCAATCTGTTCACTAGGGAGACACTTTATAACCTCTTAGACTTTGCAACTGAGAAGAACATCCACGTAATATCCAATGAAATCTTGGCTGGGTCTTATGGAAGTGAAGAGTTTGTCAGCATAGCAGAGATAATTGATTCTGAAGATTTTGACCGGAACAGGGTCCACATTGTCTATGGTCTCTCTAAGGACCTCTCTCTTCCTGGTTTCAGGGTGGGATTAATCTATTCTTGCAATGAAAATGTTCTAGCAGCTGCAAAAAAATTGACAAGATTCTCATCCATTTCAGTGCCAACACAGCATTTGCTCATTCAGATGCTATCAGATGCAAAATTTGTGCAACAATTTATCAAAAAGAATAGAGAGAGGCTCAAAAGGACGTGTTCTCTATTTGTTAGTGGATTGAAGCAGCTGGGAATTGAGTGCACCAAAAGTAGCGGGGGCTTCTACTGTTGGGCTGACATGAGCAGGTTAATTCGATCGTATAGTGAAAAGGGAGAGATTGAGCTTTGGGATAAGCTACTAAATGTAGCTAAGATCAATGTAACTCCTGGTTCTTCCTGCCACTGCGTTGAACCTGGGTGGTTCAGGTTATGTTTTACTACCTTAAGTGAGAAGGATATTTCCACAGTTATGCAACGTATTCAGAAAGTTTTGGAGATGCGTAGGTCTCTGAGTTAAGTTGCTAATCACACGATCCTTTACTCATAATCACACGATCCTTTACTCATAGTCAACCGTAGCCAAAACTTTGGCAGGAATGAGGTCACACGTAAGATAGCTTTGAATGGTTCAACTTAGTGCCTAATGTTCTGATAATGAGATCAGGATGCAGCATTGGGAACCAAATGCAGAGAAAACCAAAAATGCCAGACTGCCATTCGCAAATGCATTCCTCCAAGTTTGTGGGTTTTGACCAGCCTCAGGATTCCAGAGAATGTAGATAGGTGAATTAGCAATCAACATTGATGCAAGGCTAAGCATATAGCATGTAGAAATTGGTATCAAATGAAATTCTTTTCCAAATTTAATGTGCATAGTCAATAAGTATGGCCTGAAAGCTTATTTTTCTTTTTATATTCCCCCTAGTTGTATAGTTACAGGTACATGTACCGACTCATTATTTGTTCGCATTCATTCTTGTGTTAGTAGTAGATAATGTTATTTGAGAAATGAATTGATTTCTTACATCCCTTTGAAGGTTTGTTGATTTGGACATCAAAATAGTTAGTCAAAGGGGACAAAGATGCTATATGCTTCCTTCCTTTGATAGCTTGAAGAATCCAAGTTATTGCTCATCTTGTGTTAATATCTGGCTCATTAATGCTGCATTGTAGCTCCAATGGAGCCTTTTGGGCTTAGACTGGTAATCAATTGGAAATTGTCTCTATTTTATTTATTAATTAATTGGTAAAAGTAAATGGATTACCAGATCATATGGTTCTAAAAAGTAGTTATCAACCTGCATATGAGATATCAAAATGACTTGGCAACTTACAGGAAAAGAATGGCTTTATTGTAAACTTACAATGACCAATTGATTAAAAGAATCACAAATCAAATACAAAAGAATCTTCTCTTTGTACCAAAAGCAGCCACTTCCTAATTACTCCTGTTCCAAATTCAAGAATATGACCGATACGATTAATTGGTCTGTGTGCCTCTCTTATTTGGGACCCTTTCTGATTTCCTCACCCAATCTCATGAGAAGCAATCATAACAGGCTCTGCCTCAAGGCCCTTAACCTGTTGAAACACAAAATGAAATCCCAGCTAGACTACTTCTCCCTCATTCTATGAACAGTTCACATTTCAAATAGTCCAAGAGCTCTACTGATTCTTTACTATGAGCCCAGGCCATTCCTGATGGACTCAAGAACTTGCACTACCTCAGCCATGCTAGGTCTCCTTGAAGGCGTTTCAGAAGTACAAATCAAGCCTAGCTTCATTACCTGAATCAGCTCATTTTCTGCAAAGCCCCTCAAACTTCTATCAAAACAGTCTGAAGCAGCACCCCTTTCAATCAGGCCTCTAACATATTCACACAAGACCACCACCTCATTTGCTACTGGGTTCTCCACTGGTTTCCTTCCAGTGACCAACTCCAGCAGAATTACCCCAAAACTGTAAACGTCACATTTATCGCTTAGTCTCAAACTTTGCGCCAACTCTGGTGCAACATAACCAACTGCATTGTGGAACTTGGTTAGTCCATAGTTATCCAGCAAGGGAAGGAACTTACCAAGACCATAATCAGTCAATTTGGCTTCATAGTTTGTGTCCAGGAGTATATTAGTGGACTTAACGTTAAGATGAAGGACAGGAGGTTTGCAGTCATGGTGAAGATACGCGAGGGCTCGAGCTGTCCCTACAGCAATCTGAAACCTTCTTGGCCAATTCAGTTCTGGATTACCAGCACCAGTGCTGGTTCCGGGATAACTAAGTCCATGTAAATTATCGTACAGGTTTCCATTTGGAACAAACTCTGATAATATTAACTGCATACTAGAGGACCAGTAGTATCCTTGTAAAGCAACAAGATTTGGATGCTGAAGTGTCCCTAACCGCCCAATTTCATGCTCAAATTCATCTTGATTTCTTATTCGCCCCAATGTCTCGAGCTTTTTCACTGCAAGTGATACACCACCTTCAAAGGATGTTCTGTAAACCGATCCAATTGTTCCTCCACCAATCAAAGACTCCTTGTCTAGCAAAGCTTTTGTGCCAGCCTCCCAGTCCTCATATTTTGAAGGCAAAGTCTTGCTGAAAAGAACCAACTTTCCTATAATGACATTTGAATCTGTAGAAGCCAGTGGCGTGCTCTCTACAATTATTGTCTCGTCTGCTCTTCTCCTCCTCCGCCTAGCTTTCATATTAATGATGGTTATCAAACAAACGCCCGTAAGGATTACTGCAGCAGCGACAATAGCAACAATAGCTGAGGCACTCAATCTTGGTTTCCCTTTTGCAGGAGCAATGCCACTGGGAGAGCATGAAACATCTAAAGGAGCACCACAAAGACCACTATTATGAAAAAATGCCGAGGGTCCAAACTGCTGGATGCTCTCAATTGATGGTATAGCACCAGATAGAAGGTTGTAAGATACATTAAAATGAGTTAAATTATGCAGATTCTCAAGAGCAACAGGGATTGATCCGGACAGCACATTTTCTGATAAATCCAAAAAGTGCAAGTTAGACAAATTTCCAATGGTTGATGGTATACTTCCATTCAGTTGGTTATGATGTAAGTCAAGATATACAAGGTTTGACAAGTTGTATAGATTCTGCGGTATTTCTCCTTCTAAAAGGTTCCCAGAAAGATCCCTGTAGCAAATTGTAGACAGTTCAATTCCAGTTTAAAACAACGTTAACATTAACAAAAACATTAAACTTGAGATGGTAATTAACTCACAGTTCAAGAAGAAGCTTGCAGTTGCTAATGTCATATGGGATTTCACCAAATAGGGTGAGATTATGCAGGTCCAAAACTGCAAGCCATTCGATACTACCAAGCTCGGCTGGAATTGTTCCCCCTAGTGAATTATTACCCAATCGAATAAGAGAAAGGCTTTTCAAATCCGCAAGCTCAGTAGGTATAGTTCCATTAATCCTATTATTTGCCATGTCCAAGTACTTGAGGGCGCTGCATTTCGAGATGCTCAAGGGAATTTCACCAAAGAAATTATTTCTTGAAACATCCAACACTTCCAGTCTCTGACTACAAGTGCTAGAGTTAACTATCTCCCCATCAAAACCATTACTTGAAACATTGAAATATGTAAGATTTACCAATTCAAGAGCCCCAAAAGGAGCCAAACCAGAGAACTTATTGCTACCAAGATCCAAAAGCTCCAATCTTTGACATGTGGAAACCTTCTCTTGAACATTTCCTGTTAGAGCATTGCTCCTCACAGACAAGTAAACTAGCCCTGGAATATCACAAATTTGTGAAGGTAAACTTCCAGTAAGACCATTAAAAGATAAGTCTATCCCTTCAAGATTCTGACAGTTTCCAATTGATACTGGAATTGAACCTGAAAGATTGTTATGGGACAAGGAAATGAACCTTGTTTTGTTACAATTCATAAACAAAGCCGCAGGAATTTCACCACTATACACATTTCTTGACAAATCAAGGAATCTTATATTTGGCAAATCCCCAAGAAATTCAGGAATTGAACCAGATAAAGCATTGGAGCTTACATTAATCTTCCATAATGAATCAATCCCACTGTACTCTACAGGAATATTGCCAGTGAATTTGTTCCCAAACAAAGTGAGGATTCGCAAAGACTTAAGTTCTGCTAAGGCAGAGGAGAGAACACCACCAAGACTAGCGTTCCACAACACAATCTTCACCACATTTCCAGCAGAATTGCAGAAAACACCACTAAAGTCAAGGCAAGGGCTACCACTAGGATTCCAAGAAACTAAACTATTGTAAGGGTCTGTAGAAATGTTACCCTTGAATTGAAGCAAGATCTCTTTTTCAGTTAATGGGGAGACCAATTCCAATTCAAGCAAACAAAAACACCAAACAAGAACAAAACAATGAACAAATGTACCTAATTTTTTCATGTTCCCCAACACAACCACTCCAGCATTATCATTGCTGGATCCAGTCCTGAAACTTCTTGATCTCTACTTCTTCAGACACCCTTTTGCCTTTTCTCAAATGGGGTCCAATTATAAAAAATACAAGATTTAAATCTTGACTAAGCAGGAGCATTTTTCAATGCTTAGTATCTGCTTAAACAAGAAAGAAATTAAAGTACATTTATGGGCATATCTTAAATTTCTGTGATTTAGTACTCTTTTCTTGGAGGAAACAATAAAGTTATAAACTTTAGGTATTTTGTATATCTGGGTTGGTGTCACTAACCCTAAATTCTATAATTTGCTGAATTTCGAGAAAAATGAAGATTTCAAGAAAGTGGGCTTAGAAAGATAGAAAAAAAAAAGGAAGGAAAATTTGGAGTTTGCTGTTAAGCTGGCTGGCAATGACATGCATAGAGAGCAGAAGGGGTAATACTAAACTAGTGGAATGCAAATAGAAAATGCCTGGCTTGGCTGGAAAAGAAGGTTGGTCTGTTAGTTTAATACAGAAACTGCTTAATTTCTTTTCTTAAACAAAAGTCTGCACATATTTGACGGTTGTCTCCACGTGGTCACCTTCCTCCTTCCTCCTTCCTCCTTCCTCCTTTACTTATGAATAATTGCTGAACTCATTACTTTTTTACTCGACTTATAAATATAAATTTATAACGTCCATAAAGAAGTGTAGTTTAGTGCACGAAGTATTTCTGTATTCACGCATGATTCGGAAACACACCTCAAGGGACTGTTATGTAAGCAATCTACTCTATATATCAGTGGTTGATTCCACGACTCGAACGTGTGACTTATAGGTCACATAGAGACAACTTAACCGTTTCTCCAAACCTCCACTTAAAAAATTTATGAAGTCTATATATAACGAAATCATACTCGTTCAGAAACTCTCTTCTTACTTTCACCAAAATTTTGATGAAATGTAGGTTGAGTTTCTAGTATATTTAGTTAAATGTTTTTAGTGATAGCAAACAAAAGGAGAAGCCAATATGTCTGGTTTTTGAGACTTCACTATCACTACAGTGGAGTATGCATCATATGTAGGGTCTGTTGCCAATACAGAGATTTAAGAACAGAAGCATTTATTCCATTCACCAACCAAGGCACCGTTACCATCACTACGCACCAGACTCTTTCTTTCCTTATACATAGGTACCTAAAGATGAATGAAATGAAAGAAAGAAATGAAGGTTGAATTGAATGAGTCTTCCAAAGTTAATTTTTTCCTTCTTTCACCCTTTTTGCAGGTGTGGGGTTTGCAGTTATTGTGGTTAGTCAAGATTAATGCAATCTGTCTGACAAGAATTTGGTCATTAAACTGTATAAATATGTTAATAAAATCAAGAAAACATAGAGGAAGAAAGGATATTTATTAGTAAGTAAATTTCTTTATGAAACTTGTTCACATCTTCATGTGCTATTTCCTAATTTTCTTTTACACTTTATGGTTCATTTTATTTGTTCTATTATTGAGTTATAAAAGGTCACAAAAGATATAATGTACTTGGACAGTAAAGTAAATAAAAGAGTCAACTTTTGCGTAAAAAAAATTAACAAAATCTTAAACCACCCTACTGTTG